CAATTCAAAAGAAACAGGCGAAATATTTCGCATTTCGCCGAGAAAAAGCGCCCGTGGAATCAGGCCTTAACACACTAAAATGCGGTACCCTATAAATAAAACTTCCGGCGTTTAAGTATCAAAAGTTGTATTTTATAGTACGGCCGCCAGTTTAAAACGTCCAAACTAAAATGTTTGGGGCTTTTGGGCTCAAAATGTTATCAAAATGAAGAGAGAAGTGAACGAATCCACTGGTATACGGCCGAAAAAGAGAAAACCAACGATACCAAAGTTATCAAGGATCAAACATATTGCATTTTTTATAACTTGAGTGATTTGTCAACAAATAATACAATTTCGCTTGGCTTTCAAAGACAAAGGCCATAAATCGCTAGAATACTGTTGTCAGTTGTTTTAATAATACATTTGACATCCGTAGGTACAATTTCTCATTCGTATAAGTACAATTTCTTACGCTGAATCTAACGGTGGTATTTTTATCCTTAATATTGCGCCATTACTCATTAGGCATTACAAATACATGGTCGGACCGATTAACGGCGAGTAATTTGTCAACATACGTAGCTGCGAGCGATTTTTCAACAATTCAATTTCGCTTGATTATCAAAGGCCATCAATCGCTAGAATACTATTGTTTAGTAATAAATTTGGCATCTGTAAGTATAATTTCTTACGCTGAATCGAACGGGTGGTATTTTTAGTCTTATTGCGCTATTATTATTTAATAGGCACAGCCTTAGGCAATACGCAGAGGCGGAATGAGGGTCTTTCCACAATGCATTGCGTCTTATTATTATTCACAATTACGATTTTCAACGTTTGGCGAAAAGTTGTTGAAATACATTGCAATTTTGGCTCCGTTTATCTCGTTTTTTCGAAGGTATGTTTTTATATTTGTATTATTTAAGACCCTAATTAAACTATTTTTGACTTGTTTGGTATAGGGATTGCTTTTTACTTATGCTAATTACGTATTGTAATTATGCTTGATTCGGGTCAGTGGACACGCCAATAAAATGACCTTGATATAATGCAGAAGCAAACTCACTTTTTTTTGAGGAAAATAAAAACAAAACACGTCATCGAATTCGGGAAGATTTTTTCTTTCTAGTGTTACTTTAAAACATGAGTTTGCTCCACTAAACCGACAAGTAATCGCGGTTTGAAAATGGGGTACTTTCGCTATATTCTATCGCTGATGGCGGGAATAGACCTCCTGATAATCATCATGGCGCGAAGGAAACTATTGTACTAAATCACTATAGTTCCATGATAATTTTGAAACATATGCATATATGTTCCTACATATTTTAAGTTTAATGTAATTTCTAAGGTTAGATATGCTTTATATGTTTACTGTACCTGCACTGACTGTATTTTTTTCATTTTATTATAGAATTCGGCTATTTTGGAGTAAACTGGGAATATTAAGAGTTATGATACTGTTATAAAACGGGTATATACTTCAGTGAAGGTGATACCCCAGGGAAACCTAATAATAAGAGACACAGAATTTCTCGTTTGAAGAATTCAACATCAAGCCGAACTTTGTTTCAGAGTCCTGGAACATCACCAATGCCAAGGTGTAAAAGTACAAAGGTTTTTACAAACATAATTCATAAAATACAGTACGACTACACAAAAACATAATTGTATATTTTTAATAAGACAATATGTTAAATATTATGCTAAAAGTTATTATCATAGTAACAGTAACATTGTATTTTAATGCTTTTTTGCCTGGGAGAATTTCTGTCCATAGGCATATGAGGCTGGGCGTTGCAACCCCTCCAGTCAGTGTTTAGTATTTCTGCAAGTCTGTATAGGAGATGTGTTCCTTCTATTTTATACCTCTTGTTCATCTATCAATAAACTCATGACAATGTCGGGCAGTTTATATCCACCCGTACGCCACTATTATTTTTCAATGCTGGGAGTGGCATTCCAGAAAACCTATAGTACACAAATTTCCTGGAGAAGCATGCCCACAATCCTGGTAAAAATCCATGAGTTTCTTTGTTGTTGTCTAATTGTGCTGGTAGGCAGCCTGGCACTGACATTGCCCCTCTCACTTTTGCTGTTTGTTTTGTAGTTTCCTATCAGACAGATTAAACTGACTCCTCCAAAGAAATTCCCAGTAAAACTTCATAAATGGACATATTTTGAAGAAGATAAAGCATTCATTGAATTCATATCTGTTGCAGACAATCATGCAAATGATTATGATTGAAGAGGCTTACCAATTATGTAATATCTCTAGAGCAAAAGCATCACCTTTCATATACTTCATCATATACCATTCATGTGTACTGGTGAAATGAATTGAATGTGATGCAACATTTTAAAAACTTCTCTTTACTTTTGTGCATAAAATTTTATTTTTAAAAACATTTTAATTTTCTTTAAGTACAGTAATATTATGTTAATATTTTTTGATTTAAAATATATCAATTTTATCAACATCAATTATGTAGTGTGTGATCTTTTTATTAATTTGTGATGAGCAAGGGAACACTACACTGAAAACCACGAAAACCATACATACTGTGAACCTCCGAATATAAGCCCCCATGTATAAGCCCCCCTCCCCATGTATAAGCCCACCACATGTACTAACGCTCACCTCATTCCAAATATAAGCCCCCCCCCCAAATATAAGCCCCACCCTGAATATAAGCCCCCCTGATTATAAGCCCCCCTCATTGTCTTTATAGCTTACTATGTTAATCAAAGTGTGTTATTAATACACGTTTATTTTCCTGTTTATGACTGACTTGTTTATTACTAACACAAAAGATTGTCCATGTATAAGCCCCCTTGTGTAAGCCCATCAAAAATCGTTTACGAAAGAATATAAGCCCAGGGCTTATGGTCGGAGGTTTGCGGTAGATTGTCGACTGATAAGATGGTGTCCATGGGATACAATACTTTTGGTAGAATCAGGGAAGTGAGGAAAACACATGCAGTACAGGAAAACAAGACTGTACCACTAGAAACTCCCCAGGTCTATCCTTACAGATAAAAGAAGTATCACACCAGACACCAATAAACAATTTTGCATCTTCTGCCAAACATTTTGTTTGAATGTTTTTAACCCATTGAGTGGTAGCACTCTTTCCCTGATGAGTAATGAGTCTAGTGTTAGACAGTAAAATAATCTGGTGTTAGGCAGAGTAAAATAATAGACAACTGGTTGATCATTTGAGCATAGATAACTGGTTGATCAGTATAAATCCTTGCAATGCATCACACAGTAGTGAATACATATATATATATAGTGTTGTGATAGTGCTGAATTTCCTCCATTTCATTCTCTACATTCACTGCCCCTCCTTCAGTTTCACCATCAACACTGCTACCACTGGGCGCTTCTTCCATCATTCGGTGTGTATGAATGTCCGTCAGGGCAAACAGGATTTATTGGATAAATAAAACAATTACAATCAGTTGGCTGGTGTAATTCTATTGGTGGAAGTACACTGTCCAGCTCATCATCTTGACTATCTGGGTCACATGGTGGGATGTTGGTGATGTTGAAATATCAACCTCCTTCCTGTGGATCATTAGGGTCGAAGAACTACATGATATGAAATAAAAATACGTTTAATACTGCTGTATTACAACAATTTTAAGCGAAATATATCAATCACATCATAGATGACTGTATTTTATATAATTTATACAGTACGAGAGCATTTTTATATTTCTATTTTATATAAATCATCTTACCTTAAAAACACAACTAGAGTGAATTTGTACCAGTGCAGGATTACCGCAATCAGGGAACAATTTCATCAATTTGTATCCCGTTAACCACAGCTGGACAAAGGACTATTCTTCAAACTATCTGTATTCCGTAAAACTATATAAACATGAACCTCAGGACATTTCAAGTTCATCACACGGTAGTCCTTACGGAATTAAGATTAATGGCTGTTTTGACACACAGTGAACAAACAGAAGCTCGTGTCCACCCAAAAACGAAGCTTTCTTTCCACGAATAGTGCAAAAATTCACCATTTTACATTTTTTTTTCTATAAACCTTTCCGAATCCTCGAGGTGTAAACACAGCGAGAGCCGACCGAACAATGACGGCGCAGAGCGAGAAATCTGTAATATGTAAAAAAACGCGCCTGACCGCGTTGCATGCCGGTATAGTCCTCACTCCTCCTCTGGGCAATACGAATACAAGGCAAGGTCAAAGACAAATGTACTGCGAGTGATTTTTCTGTTATACCGTACTCGGCGAGCGATTTGTCAATACAATTTCGCTTGATTTTCAAAGGCCATAAATCACTAGAATACTGTTGTTTAGTAATACAATTGGCATCCGTAAGTACAATTTCTTACGCTGAATCGAACGGTGGTATTTTTATCCTTATTGGCTATTGCGCCATCAAATATAGGCATTAATACAAATACAATATCATATTTCACACTGAGAACACTGCAGTTTTCACAGACTGTTGTTCAATAAATTTCATATTGATTATTAAAACTACGTTGTGCAGTTTAAGTTATAACCTTTTACCTTGAAATTGTCTTTGGCTCGTTCATATTCAGATTAAGTATATTATGATCGTGCACGGGAATTCAACGATCCAAATTTCGGATTTTCAGAGTCGTGCACCAAGAAAAACGCATTAAATAAACTAGCCAGAAGTCCAGAGTTAGACACAATGCAAAAGCCATAGAAAACAGGTACAAATTGTTCAACATTTTCACGAAAATGTTTGAAACATTTTGCCCACTCCACGAAAATCCTACCCTGGGTGCCAGAGGTTCTTCCACGCTCGTAGGGGGGGATAATGAGGGATACACGAGGATTCAAGCTGGGAGGCGGCGAGCGGGAAGAACCTCTGGAACACTTCTATGGCTTTTACTGTTTTAACTGACACATGTCAATCAAACGTTAGCCAATAGGACACGTATTTATTTTTGACTAATGATGATTTGGGCGTGTTCAACCGAACATTTGAGCGATGGAAATTAGCGAGTCTTTATAGTAAAATAAACCGAATAATATTATATGGCCACATGGCATTAGTCCGTACACCTGTTAAAAGTGTTACAAAAAAAGCGGAGATGAGTATTGTCGAGTTTGTGGTGAATTTGTTATTTTCACAGTGGGTATTTTAGTATATACAGTAAAAGGATCGTCGCCTCGGTAGATTAAACTTTGAAGCATTTCTTGTTCATCATATAATACAAACGAATATTTGCCGTCCAAGGCCCTGTTTATATGGAGGCGACTCAGACGAGTTTCTCTGCAATTGGCGAATAAAACTTATCTAATGATTCGTATGTATTTTTGAACAATATATTATATTTCAAATGCAAAGCAAATACATTTATATACACATACATTCGATCTCGGGCGGCCGAGTTAACAAATACCCGAACATCTTTTATACGGTAACTATTCATCTCGCCGAAGGCAATATCTCGCCTCTTTCTGCCGGGAACTCGTCACTGGCGAGTTTATACTCGGCTGCATCGTCATGTAAACAGTCCCCCGGGTTTACTACTACGTACTGTATAAGTTTCTATAATATAGCCGGGATCTTGTCGTTGACGAGTATAAACTCGACTTGCCGGGTAATTCGCCTCGATATAAATAGGCCTATAAAGACTCCCATCTTGTCTTGACATGCTTGATTACTAGACAGCCACGCACACGAAATTCCCCGTCTTGGCAATATAGCAAACATATCACGGCGATGCATTAACTGAAACACAGAAACAAGGCATCTTGAGTTTTGTAACACTGTCCAGTAAAAAAATTCAAAATCGAATCAACCGCGACCGAGTTGTTGAAATCCTCTCGCAAGACTCGCAAAACTAGAGGCATATATATTTACGCCTGACTATGTTATAAATATAATATTATTATATTAAACAACAGCCTATGCCTGTACGGATTCTGAACGATAATATCTTGAAGGACATACGGTTCAAACAGCCAATGAAAGTCATTGTTTTAACAAGTCCCTGCCGTTAACCAATTAACACTGTGATTCAGATTCTGGATCACTTCACACTATTAAGCATCGTGATTGGTGCGGTTCGATCTGAGAAACCATAGAAGTGTTCCAGAGGTTCTTCCCGCTCGCCGCCTCCCAGGTTGAATCCTCGTGTATCCCTCATTATCCCCCCTACGAGCGTGGAAGAACCTCTGGTACCCAGGGTACGAAAGTCCCCGCCATTTTGAAAAGGTCAAGCAGCTCATTAATATTCTATTTTGTGGCTATCGACGAAGAATGGAGATCCACTATTGCCGATCCACTATTGCCGATCCGTGAAAAATGCAAGCCGAAACCTATACTCGTCTGGGGCACAGGTGCTCCAGCGAGTAATTACGATTTTCAACCAACATTTGGCGAAAAGTTGTTGAAATACATTGCGATTTTGGCTCCGTATATCTCGTTCTTTCAAAGGTATGTTTCTATATTTGTATTATTTAAGAACCTAATTAAACTATTTTTGACTTGTTTGGTACACGAATTGTTTCTTAGTTATGTTAATTACGCCTTGCAATTATGCTTGATTCGGGTCAGTTGAAACGCCACAAAAGTGGCTTTCAAAAAATGCAGAAGCTATATTCATTTTTTTGAGGGGAAATTAAAATAAAACACGTCATCGAATTAAGGAAAGTTTGTTCTTTCAATTCAACTAGTACTTTAAAACTTAAAGTAGCTCGACGAAATTGACTAGTAATCGCGGTTTGAAAATGGGATACTTTTGCTATATTCTATCGCCGATGGCGGGAATTAGATCGCGTGATAGTCATCATGGCGCGAAGGAAACTATTGTACAAATCGCTATTTTCCTAGCTATTTTCCATGATAATTTTGAAACATACACATAAATTATGTTCCTACATATTTTAAGTTTAATGTAACTTTTAAGATTAGATGTGCTTTTGCTGCACTGACTGTATTTTTTCATTAGTTATTATAGAATTCGGCTATTTCGGAGTATATACTTCTAAAGGTGATACCCCAGAGAAACTTAATATAAATAAGAGTCAGAGACGCAGAATTTCACGTTTGAAGAATTCAACATCAAGTCAAACTTTGTTTCAGAGTCCTGGAACATCACCAAAGGTATAAAAGTACAAAGGTTTTTACAAACATAAAATACAGTACGACTGTACAAAAACATTGTATTTTAAACCCTTTTAAGTGGCAATGTGCCCTGATGCACCCTACTTTAGTATTTTACTCTGTCTAACACCAGATGATTGTACTCCTCAAGTGGAGAGTGCTGTCACTCAATGGGTTAATGAGACAGTGAGATGTTAAGGGGGGGGGGGTGCATTGTAACAGTAACATTGTATTTTAACGCTTTTTGGCCTGTGAGAATTTCTGTTCATAGGTGTATGAGGCTAGGGGTTGCAACCCTCAAGTCAGTGTTTTGTTGGCCAGAATTCTGCTTTAAAAATTGGGCAATTGTTTTAAGATTGACTTTCAACAGTATTTCTGCAAGTTTGCATACGAATTATCATTCCTTCTATTTTATACCTCTTGTTCATCTAATAAATAAGCTCATGACAATGTCGGGCAATTTCTGCCCACCCGTACACCAATGATATTTTTCAATGCTGGAAGTGGCATTTCAGAAAACCTATAGTGCAGAAATTTCATGGAGAAGCATGCCCACAATCATGGTAAAAATCCATGAGTTTCTTTGTTGTTGTCAAATGACATTGCCTCTCTCACTTTTGCTGTTTGTTTTGTAGTTTCCTAACAGAAAAATTAAACCGACTCCACCAAAGAAATTCCCAGTAAAACTTCATAAATGGACATTTGAGGAAGATAAAGCATTCATTGAATTCATATCTGTTGCAGATAATCATGCAATGATTGCAATTTAAGAGGTTTACCAATTATGTAATACCTCTAGATTGTTTTAATACATCATTAAGCTAGAGCAAAAGCATCACCTTTCACATTGATAATAGAACAATATTGGTAGCAGTAGATTACTGATATGACACATACCTCTGTAAAGCCTTTACCCTCTGTAAAGATTTTGAAATACAAATACAGTACTTAATCATATAATATTCATGTGTATATGGTGAAATGAATGTAATGCGACATCTTAAAAACCTTCTCTTTATTTGTGCACATTAAATTTTTTTAACTTAAAAACATTTTAATTATCTTTAAGTACAGTAATATTATGTTAATATTTTTTCGATTTTAATTAAAATAAATAAATTTTATAAACATTTTAATTAATTTGTGATCAGCAAGCTGGAAGACTCAACCTCATTACCCACTGAAAATCATGAAAACCATACATAGATTGTCAAAAAAATGCAGAACTGATAAGATGGTGTCCATGGTATACCAATTAACACTTATGCTACAATCAGGGAAGTGAGGAAAACACATGAAGTACAGGAAAACTGGGGTGGGGCCAAGACTGTAACACTAGAAACTCCCCAGCTCTATCCTTACAAATAAAAGAAATGTCAATATCACACCAGACACCAATATACAATTTTGCAGCTTCTGCCAAACATTTTGTTTGAATGTTTTTTAACCCATTGAGTGGCAGCACTCTCCCCCTGATGAGTAAATTATCTAGTGTTAGACAGAGTAAAATAATCTGGCGTTAGGCAGAGTAAAATGCAATGCATTACACA